AGAGATCTCGCTCGGCGTTGCTGCCGTTTTGCGCTGAGAACTCGCGCGTGTCTGCCCAAGACCGGTTTTTCACGTCTGCGACTGTGCTCCATGCTGCTGCCGGGAAAGCGCAAGCACATTCCGAGACTTCCAGCTGTGGTTGTTGACAAGTCTGCGAGAACCACTCATGCGTCAGAGTGGCTGCGACGGCGTGATCGGAACATCAGAAGGTTTCGAAGTTTCATCGGACATTGCCAGGGCCGCGAGAGGCTGCTCTAACTCGTTCTTGCCCTTCAGTTTCTACCTAGACCTACCCCTCTCAGAGATCTCGCTCGGCGTTGCTGCCGTTTTGCGCTGAGAACTCGCGCCTGTCTGCCCAAGACCGGTTCTTCAGGTCTGCAACTGTGCTCCCATGCTGCTGCCAGGAAAGCGCAGAGACTTCCAGCTGTGGTTTTTGACAAGTCTGCGATAACCACTCATGCGTCAGAGTGGCCAAGTGTCAGGGTTTAGGGTTCATCCCAAACCCTAAACCCATACAAAACCCTACACCCTAAACCTTTCACCGCCCCAACCCGGTTGGGCTCTTGGCATGCCCAGAGACCACTCCACCAAAGATCGCGAAAGGCGTGGGGCAACCCAGACCCTTGGGAGGATCTAGACAGTAGATCCTCCAGTAGAGCAACCTCCGTGGCCGTTGCACTCATGCGTTAGGCTCGAATTGCCTCAAGGCTCTTTCCAAGCCCTTCCCGGGCCCTCGCAAGCTCAAGTTTTTGCAGATAGTTGGACTTGGGCACCCCTTTTTTGGGGAGTGTGTGCCACGGTGACTACAGCACGCAACCCATGAAACCCTGAAGTTCAACGGACTTGTGAAGCTGCGGGCACACACTAAATGTTTCCGAACCTCAGGCCAGGAGAGAACGTATCGGGTTGAACGGCAAGGCAACGGATTGTTAGAGCTCAGGTTTATCAGGTTTAGGCTTATGTTCTGCGAATGCTGTGACTGTGTGCTTGTGCACCTTCAACTTCTTCAACCCGGCCTTCCAAAAGAGGCGCCTTGGCGGCAGCCTCTCCTGTGGGCTTGCAAGCCTAGGGCCTAAGATGCCCAGGACCGTCATTCCGAATCCTCGGGAGCTCAGGTGAAAGGGTGCATACTCGGGGGATGTATGTCTATTAGACCTTGACGCCTCTATCCCGCCGATGCGGTGCATCAGGTGGATTTTGGCTGGTTTTGGTCCCCGAAAGTTAAAGACCAGGTGCCTAGGGCTGAAGGACGCTGTCGGCAGAGGAATGTGACCATAGGGCATCAACATGTTTGAGTCCTCCCGGTTGAAGGGAGCATCTCTTGGGTATAGGTATCATGAGTTTGGGCGTGAGCGACAGACTATATCTGCTAGGAGACGGAGAGGACGCGGAATGCAATGTTGTCGATGCAGGTGCGGCTCTCATCGCTTTGCTTGGTGTGGACAAAAGCATGAATGCACCTGAACACACACAAACGAAGATGATGGCGTCAGGTGGCACCTAACCGCTGCACGTGTCCCATAACAACAACCTGTGTCCGCTGTGTCCACTGTTCCGGCTCAGGGCTTTCACATTTGCTTGGCATCTCTGCACTTGGAGCCCAGAGGACTCGAACGGGGCGTGCGAGACTTGAGCCCCAGGGACTGAGGCAGCTTTGGACCTGCTCGGCGTCCGCTTTCATGGCTACAAGGTCTGCCTGTTGAGACGAATCCATGTGCCAGCGTTTGCCTGTATCAACCATGCTTCAAGCCGCTTCTGCAACGCGTACATATCCACTGTGCAGACCAGCTTCCGTCAAGAATGCAATCGCGCCAGGAAGCCATGTGCCGCTGGGGATTTCTCAGAGGTTGAGGGGTGGCGCGTCCAACCCAGTAGGATTGTTCTAGTGTCAGCACTGTTGTAGGATGTTGTAGGCATGTTCGCAAACCGCCCAGAAGCAGGAGCTAGGTGGCTTTGCAGAGCGGGCAGAAGTTCGCCTCAGAGCGCTGCAAAAAAGGAGCTGCTCGTCTTCACTACTTCTGAACAATAGGCTGGAGGATGACGCAGCACTGGGGTGCATGGTCAGGCGAAGGGTCCTAAGCATGCAGGCTCGGCAGATTGCGCGCAAATCGCCAGTGAAATCCGAACACGCATCATTCCTGGGAGTGCCCAGTGGTCTGCTCTACAGCGGGTGTCTGTCCTTGCGTTGCCTGGTCTCAAGAACCGTGAGAGTGCTGTGGCTCATAGGCTTGGAAGCGGCCGCTTCCCTCCCAAAAACCAGGCAGCGCTTGCATCGCAAGCCTCAGACATGCTGCTACTGCCGAGATATCTCCAAGTTAGGCTTCATCAAGCTTGCTGCAGTGCAGCCCCTACTGACAAACCTTCGGTTTGAGATACAGTGTAGCAAAGATTGGTCCGCAAATGTTGGACCCTCTTTGCTTCGAGAGAAGCCTTGGTCTGACTGAAGAGTGGGCCCTTGCGGCAGTGTTGCCCCATCGAGCGGGCAGCATGAGGAATGGAGCGCTAGCCCATATTTCCGGCATTCAAAGATGCAAAGGCCCAGACTTTGGGACACCAACTCAAGCCGTGATGCAAAGGCTGCAAAGATCAAATGCCAGTTGAGTCAGCGTTGGAGTCCACCATCGTTCTGAAGTCCACTGGGAGTCCACCGAGAATGAGAAACGACTTTTTGGTCACCCGTAGCCACGATTATCGGTCCTAAAGCGTATGTACATTGTATGTAAGTCATATTTAGGCTTGCCCAACACAGGGGCCCGCAACAAGGGGCACCGCTTGGCCCCTCAGACAACTTGTCATGCTGAGCAACTCACGCGGGTCCCGTCAACTTGTGCGTGTGGCTTGGCCACTGCCACGCAGTATGGTGTAGGGACCAGCAAGGCCCATCCTAGAGTTTTGGCACCGGGGGCTGTCAGCTGCCCGCATGCGCCTAGGGTTGTGCGCCGCCCTCAACAGTAGGAGTCGGCTTGCTTTCCGGCGGGCTTGTCTGGTTAGTTTCGCAAGGGGCGCAAGCGCATGCTGGCATGTGCCACGATGCCATGAGCATGTCTGCACGTGTTGCACAGTTGCACTTCCCTTGTGTTGTGCTGTCCTCATGCCGGTGGTGTTGAGCAATAGCTCGCTAGTACCCAGGAACCTCCTAGAATATTTGCGACAGGGGATTGCAAGTTTAGGGCTTCTGAGAGGGGAGCTTAAGAGGCAAGATTGAAGTTCGAGGTCAGAGTTGGAGCTAAAGCCACAGAACCCTAAGCCTGCCAAAGTATGGGCATGTGCGGCCGGGCACAGGGTCTTAAGCGTGCAGGCCGTGCAGGCTCGGCCAGCCGGGCATGCTTCGCCCATCGCCACTGAAATCCGAACACGTGCTATCCTGTTGTAAATGCATCCGATCAGGAGCTGATCATCAGCTCTCCCGAAGCTACGCTGCCTCGTAGTGCACCTTTGAGGCAGCGCAGTGGGGCAGCTTGTAACTCTTCATGGCCGTTTGCGCAGCGCAAGGACTGAAACGGAAAAAACCGAGGAACAAATCGACTCTGCTTCTCTCCGGAGTCTCAGGTTCGATGTTCCGCATCGATGCCGGATCCACAACCTCTGTCTCATGGCATTCGTGCAGTGTGAACGTGCGAGTAACGGTTTAGGCGCACGTGGCGCAAGTGCCTTTCCAGTGTTCTGGGCCGAAGCATTTACCTCGCAGAGCCGTTTCAAGACACCCGACAGCATCCTTTCCCTGAGACCCTGTGATGCGGATCAGGGGGTGAGTTGGGTTCAAGTGTTCCGGATCTTCCGAGGCATCCGTAGGCATCCGTAGGCTTTTGCTTGTGGTGAGCTCGGTGCCCCCTCGTCCTGAGATGTTCTGACGGTCTAAGATGACATCGAGGTCGCGCGTTGGGTCACCCGACACCTGCAGATCACGGTCATAGCGGTGCGCCCGGCCCCGTGACCACGGCGCCCAGACACTCGAGCTTCCAGGACTTCCCAATGCTCGCCATGAAGCACTTGGGCTGTGGACCGGACGCCGGACTCCAAGAGCTCGGATTCAGAAGTCGACCGAGCAATCCAGGAGGCCCCAACAGCTTTTCCGCGCCTTACCCTGCTGTAGCTCCGGACGCTTTCTCGACATCAAGAAAGCTCATGACTCTTGAGCAACTGCGAAGAATCGCGCGCGGTTCGTTTTCCTGTTGCCCGAGTTGAGCCTGAGGGTTCCCATCTTCACGCGAGGCGCCTGAGGCGTTGTGGCATGAAGCCCTACAGCCTCTACGGCCCCTTCAACCCCTTCAAGCCCTTCGAGCCCTGCAAGCCTGGGCGTCATACTCTGCATACTCCTCGTGCAAGAGCCCCGGGCGGAGATGTGCGGAGCTGGAGATGCGCGCCAACGTCGGGTCCAGGGCAGTACTGAGCCGCCACCGTCAGCTCCCCGGCTGGGCCTCGGACGCCGCCTTCTTCTTGCGGGGGCCCGCTGGGTCTCTGGGTGCCTGGGGCTGTCAGAGGCCTTCGACGGCGGCCTGTGGCACCCTGATTGCGATGCTGACACCCGAGCCGGTTGAGCCGGCCCGGATCCGGGCCCGATCAGAGGGCCGAAGACAGCCAGCGTCCCATGCGCTTTAGGCCTTAGGGCTTTAGGACCTGTCGGAACTGCCGACACGTGCTCCTTCTTGGCGCATGCAAAAGGGCCAGACTCATGTTAGCAGTGTTTGGTTGTGCCTTTTTGCTGTGAGGCAGTGTCGATGGTCTTGCGGTCTAGTTCAGCTTTTGTTGCAGGCATGCGAGTGACTTGGTAGTAAATGTCGTCACGTGTCGCAGCATGGCGCATCATGCTCAGCTGTGCTTTGCAACTCTTGAGTTTGGGGTTCAAGGCTGGAGAGGTGTTAACGTGTTGGGTAGCACGCGATGACACGCTTTGTGATTGGCTGTTTGGCTTTTGTTTACCAGTGGCATGGTTTGGATTTCTCGGAGGCTTTCCAAATTTATTCTGGAAGGGAACTAAGGCAGAAATTGTTTGGTGAAGGATGTGCGACGAGCTTACGGCGTTTTTGCTGCTGTTGCCGGGTGCCGGGGCAGAGGCGGCGAGAAAGCTCGGTTTAGACTGGGTCGTTCAACGTTGGTTTGCTCGCACAGACACATTTTGCGCAGCTTGAGTTTCCAGTAGTCACTACCGACTGGCGTCTGGCAGCCCGACGCAGTGCTGCAGGTGCTCCCGTTTGCAGTGCTGCTGCCTGCAGATGACTGCTTCGACTGGAGCGGTCCCAACCTCGTTGTTGAAACAAGTGTCTTAAGCTCCCAAAAGAAACGCAGATCCAAGGTGAAGCCATCCCGCTCCAATGGCGCCTCAAGATTGCCTCCAAGGAGCGCCTAAAAACAAAGTCCTACGTGCAGTTTGGGGAGAAGTGTGTACAGCAGTTGCGGAGGGGAGTGGAGGGGAGGGGGGCCCGGAGGGGTGAGGGGAGGGGGCAGGGGAGAGGAGAGGGCTTGAGCTCGCGAGGACGACTCAGAGCTGATTGCCCTACAGCTGCAGCAGGCAAGCACGGGATGGAGCTTAGGCTTTGAGATTCATAGGCGCAACCAAAAGGAGGAGGAGTTGTAGGAGTAGGAGTTGTAGAAAAACATCGCTGTCGTCGTACGACTACCCCGAGCCTTTGCAGCCTCAATCAGGCATGGCCGCTTGGTGCTACAGCCTGGACGCCTACATCTGCCCAGTTGCAGTCTTTGCACGACTTTGCGAGGCAGGAGCCTTCAGCGACAGAGGGTTTTCCTCGGGTTAAACGGCATCAGGGTGCATTTTGGGGCTTCAAGCGGCTTCACCTGAAGCTGTAGGGAACCCGGAGCCGCTGAACACCGAATCCCCCTGGCAGGGAGACCTTCTCGCTGGTGGCCGAAACCCCTGCGAGCGCTTTTCCACTTTTGGCACCCCTGATCGAGGCACGTGAAACCCCTCAAGCCCGGAACCCTGAACCAGAAGATGATGAGCCTGCACGGCATTTCCGTGGAGGGGATCGGGGGTTGCGGAGCAAAGTCAGGGTTCGGGTTTGAGGTCTCTTCTTGCCTTTCAGTGTTCGGTACATGGTTGGACGATGGGATCTAAAGCTGCCCGCCCTTCTCCCCCCAAAGATGGCTCATTTCAGGATCTCATAAGGCGAATGGTTGGATCTCGTCAGCACCCGGTTCACACCAGAAGCAGTGGCATTTACCAAGTCCTGAACGCTGTAGTCAAGGTACCCATGTGCTCCCAGGTGCTCTCAGAGATCAGAGGTCTTGTTGAGTAAGGGTTGTATGATAAGGTTGAGTAAGGGTTGTATGATAAGGCAAGCTTGGTGATGTGAGTCTCGAGCCTTTGCGCAAGGGCCGAGCCAGCGCAGAGGATGGACCTTCTTGGGCGGAGAAGGCCCTCAGGAACACCAGTTTGAGACTTCCACCCAGTCCAAGAAGGTTTAGGGCTTCTGGCTTCTTCCGACAACGCGGCTCACAAGCTCTCAAAAGAACGGGGTGTTGGGGCATCGGTGTTTGTCACCGTTGGAACTTGTGGAGGTTCTGGACTCAGCGACTCTGTGCGAAGTGGCTGCTCATTCCAGAGGCGACCCGACAGAACGAGGAGGAAGTCCCCTGCGCCGTAAGAGGATCCTATGCGAAGCATGTAGCTCAAGGGATCGATTCGCGTGGAGTTTTTGGGGTGTCTCGGCCTTTGTGTTGAATGTGTGTCATGCAACATGCGCAAGAAAGCGCTTGAGGCCACCGGCCTGAGCAGTCAAGTCTTCTGGAGATGTCGCTGCGTGCGACAGGCAAGAGCAGGACGTAGCACAGAGTTCTGTCATGGCACGTTGCCATTGAATACAAGCTGCGCTGGAGCTTATGGTCGTGCTTGCCGGGGGGGTCGGCAAATGGATCGATATTGTAGCAGGGAAGGTAACCCTCTTTAGAGCGTTTCTTGATCCATACTTGTGCCAGCACACAGGGCCGCACCAATTATAGGCAGCCACCGTGATGCAAGGAGCGACGAGGAGAGCAATCTGTGGCTGGCCAGGCATATTGCCACCACCACCATGGAGGCGCATGAGGAGTGGTGGGACTGTTGGCATGGACGTAGTGGGCCTTCGGCTGAGATCTTTTCGGCAGGGGGTCAGGGACCTGAGTGGAATTCGCGACTTGCATCCTTCCGTCCACACCACGCCCAGGGTCCCCTTGCCGAGCTTCTGCGTGGATCTCCAGATGGTGGCATCCTGTCGAGATATGGACACTTCATGAGAGCGCATCGGCGCATCGCAGCTACTGACATCTGAAAGTTCCAAGGATACTTGGTAACATCACGCTACGCCCGACGTGGCTTGACTGCAATGGCCCGAGCAACAACAGAAGACCATACAAGACCCACAGCAAAAAGCCAAAACAAAGCCCTGAAGCCCACAAACTCTCAAACTCAGTTTGTTCGGCCCTTCCTTCCCCCCTTCCCCAAACTTTGCCCCACCTCTCAAGAATAGCAAGCAGCAGCAGGCCCCCAAACCCGAAACCCTAAACCTCAAACCCTGAGCCCTGAACCACCTCCAGGTTCCCATCGCTTGCTTCGGGCCTGGCCGGGCCACTCCGCCGCCAAGGCGGCGCTGGCCACGGGCAGGAGATGCCTTGGGGGCTCCGGGTTCAGTTGCTGCTTATGGTGGAGCATGCTCCTTCTGTTGTGTTTGTCGACTTGTCCTTGGTAGCGTGTAGGTTTAGGCTTAGGACTTAGGACTTGGGGAGGGGTTCTTGGGGCAAAGGGTGAGGTCCTGTAGACGTTTGCTTATCAAGTGACGGAGGGTCGGCAAAACTCGTGGCCCCTACACAGAACGCCCTTGCAGGAAGAAAGCCCAGACGGAACCTGCACCCGGCTCTTTGCTCCTCTTTCTGCAAGAGAGCGACTTGGCTGCAACCTCTGTTTGAGGCTCAGGGGGCGTGTGGCCTCAATGTCGAAGCCGGACAGTGGGGACGGTTTAAGGTTTTAAAGAAGGGAGGTTAGCCGAAGTAGCGCAGTCAAAAAAGGGCAATTCCTATTTGATGGTCCGTGTTTGGGAGAATTTTCTGCATCTGGTTTAGGGATCCTTCTACACGCAAAGCCCAGGATATGGCTTGGAGGTGTCTGATGCTGAGCAGTGCATAGTGGAGGCCTGCCTGGCCTTGTTTCAGGCATTCTGACACACTTGCGAACTTGCTGTGGATGGGTGGTCCTAAGCAAACGAACAATCTGTTGAGTTTCAGAGGCTGCGCTGTATCTTCTGGCGGAATCCTGAAGCCTTAAACCCTAAACCCTCCACCTTCTTGCAGATAGGTCCACAACCCACAACCCACAACCCACAACCCACAACCCACAACCCACAACCCACAACCCACAACCCACAACCCACAACCCTAAACCCTAAACCCTAAACCCTAAACCCTAAACCCTAAACCCTAAACCCTAAACCCTAAACCCTAAACCCTATAACCCTATAACCCTAAACCCGAAACCCTAAACTCCTAAACCCAAAAACCCCCCCCCCCCCCCCCCCCGAGGCAGCCGATGGGCCGGCTCTGCGGCCTCTGGCCGCGGGATGCGGCGGTCGCCCAAGCGGCCAGTGTCATGAGGGTATAGGGTTTAGGTCCGGGGCTTTGAGCGTTTGAGGGCTTAGAGGGTTTGGAGGGTTTAGAGGGTTTAGAGGTTAGGGGTTTAGGGGTTTAGGGGGTTTAGAGGGTTAGAGGGTTTAGAGGGTTTGGAGGGTTTAGAGCGTTTAGAGGGTTTAGAGGGTTTAGAGGGTTTCAAAAAGTTTCAGAGAAGCAGGGCGTGCACAGAAGGAGAGACGAGCATGAGGTGGTGGCCATGCCGTGACCTCCCTGTCAGAATGGCTGATGGAGGGAGGAGGAGTGGATGCATGTTCAGCCGCCATGTCTCAAGCCACTCGGCCTGGTGAAGACTTCATTACGAATTTGTCTTCGCATCCCATCCAGGAGGACACCTCTCACGAGCAGATGGCTCCGACACCGTCAGCCCTTGTCCAAGCCTTCACTCGGCAGCATGGCCGCAGCCGCGAGATACTGTAGCTCTAGCATTTTACTCGCCTGACTGTCTGGAAAGACGAGGGTTTCCGTGCTCCTGCTGAATCGAGCTTGAGCAGGTGGACGATGCAGGCACAACGATGGGGCCGATTCGTCTGCTGCCGGAGTCTCTTGCGCGGGCATTTCTGGGAACATTGAATATCATGAACAATCTGCGGTTGAGAGAGTGGCGAGTTCGAGTATGAGCCGCGGGAGAGCATCCCGCGGTCATGTGGGCAATGCAGGAGAAACACGAGAGTGGTCGGCATCGGACTGTTATGAATATATTAAGCGCTCCACATTGCTGAGTGCGGCGGTGCAGAGGTTTCTGGCGCCACACCCGCTACCTCCTCGCCTGCAGCTGGCCTTTCGGCTCCTGCCGGTCGTCTTGCAGAGCCTATGTGCCAATATCTGGAATCTTTAGGGAGTTTAGGGTTTAGGGTTTAGGGTTTAGCGTGCCCAAACCCGAAGAGACTCAGCAGAAGCCGAGGAAGCTGCGCCGCCTCGAAGTTCTCTTCGGATTGAGAAGGCAGATCCTGCCATCCTTGTCCTCCCAGGGCACTCGATGCTTGGACTCAAGAGAAGAACTCTCTCCCTACATCCCCCTCCCTACATCCCCTAAACCCTAAACCCTAAACCCTAAACCCCAAACTCTAAACCCTAAACCCTAAACCCTAAACCCTAAACCCTAAACCCTGTAGGGTTCAGAGTTCTGCACCATGGGGGTGAACAGGGCAGCTTCTACTCCTTGTGTCCGACAGTCTTCAGCGGGTGAGGTTCGGAATTCACGTTTGAGCTGAAGCCAGTGTTCCAGCGGCCGAGCTACGACACCACCGGAGCCTCGGGTCGAGTTCAGTTCCTGCTTTTCTGCTTTTCTGCTCTTCTGCTTTCTGAAACTTCGTTTTTCAGTTGCATAGGGCAATCCCCTTTAAGCCTCCAAGCCTCAACGCCCCTCAAGACCGTTCCCCCAAACCCGACAAGCCCCTTCGCCCCCTGGACACCCAACCCAAAACCTCCCTAAACCCCCCCCCCCCCCAAATCGTCGGACCTACAAAGGCCGACGCCACGCGCTCTGCAGCGAGCGCCTCCACTTCCTCAACACGGAGTCGCGGCGGCTGAAGCAGGTGTTGGAGGCAAAAGCGGTGTGGTTTAGGGCTTCTGGTTTGGGGACTAGTTCCTAGGATGTTTATGGGGTGGGGATGTTTTCTTCTTCTATCGGGATAGATCAGCGTTGGCGGCTCATGAAGCCCTACACAGTAAAAACGAACGTTTTGGCCATGGAGATAGCCCTCAACTTTTCAAGGCTACACCGCTGTCAAACCCCAAAACTCCCAAAAGACCACAAGCCCAGCACCCCACAAAGCCGAAACCTGTTGCAGAAGCCCTGAGCGCTGCAGGAGGAGTCAGTTGCGATGCACCTGAGCCCGGCCACTGGGCCATAAATGTGCACAGCTCTGCACAGCGTTGCGCTGCGCGCCTTCTGCAACGAGTCCTTTCCGAGTCGGTGTGTAAAGAGCTTTAAGAGCAGATATAGGGCTGATGGAGGTCTGGATTGCCGAGGGCTTAGACCCTCAACGACAAAGACCCTCAAGCCTCATCCTCACCACTCAGGTAGAGGCTGACTGGGCTTTGGAGGTGGCCACCACCTTCACGAGCGCCTCCGAAGCCGGGCTGAGCACATTATGAGGGACTCAACAATCTCCTCACCCTCAGAGCGTTTCTCGCTCAACATGTCTGAAGGCAGGTGGAGGGTTGGTCTTCGAGCTTTTGGGGATTCTAAGCCTTAGGAGCCCTACGATTCCACGCGCTTGGCGTGGTTGGGCGACGCGGTGCCTCAGCTTGTTTGGAGCCAAAGATGCTGTAAGAGCCAAGCACAATTCCCTCATCCCCAGCATCGGAATTCATTCAGCCACCCTAGCCACCCTCATCTTTGATAGCATAGGGGGTTTGCACCACATCTTGGGGTATGCTTTCCATGAAGTTTCGGGGTTTCAGCAGGGCCCTGGCAGGCGGTTTTCCTGATTGCAACTGCTTGGACTTCGCTGGAGGCGGGACGGAATCCGTATGTTGTTGCCCGTCGCCGCCATGTTGTCCACATATGGCAGTCCTGGCTGAGCAGGTAGGAGAGCGCACCCCTGTGATTATGGCTCCATGCTTGAACGCCTGGACTTCGGCTTGGCTGCAGGCTGACCATCCCCTTCAACAGCGCCAGCGTCGAGTGGCCGCGCTGATCTCGAACAGGCCGTGGCTATGCGCGTGATCGAGAATGCGCTTGTTTGTGGCATTTTGTGGCTGCAGGTGCCTTGCTCGCCTGGCGCTGTCGGGATTGGAGCTGCCGCGCTATTTGCAGACAGGACTGGCATGCAGAGAGGTTATCTGTCATCAACGCATCATGCCATGACTTCCGGTATCCTCCCCACGCCAGACCCAGTGGGCTCGCGTGGAGCCAAGCAGCCGCTGGGCAAAAAGGCAGCGGCGTTTTTATCCCACCGAAGGACATGGCTCCCCTCCGAGGCCCTCAAGTGAAGCATGTGCCCGAAGGCGCCGGCCGATGCCATGGAAGCCCTACTCGGTGCGCTGGTGCTCGCAGGACGGGTTGCTGAGTGGTTTGCGTATTTTGGGAGTGTGTCTTGCCTTGTTGTAGGCGGGTTACCAGGATTCTTTTTGAGAGGGTGGGCAGGGGCAGCTGTAAGGACCCCCTAACAGCCCCAGCCCCTGGAAGTCGTTCACCCACCATAAAACGGCCAAGTTAATCGAAACTGTAGATCCTAAACCCTAAACCCTAAACCCTTAAACCTTAAACCCGAAAACCCGAGTTCCCAAATCCTAACCTCCCCCCCACATCCGTTTCGCCCCCCGAGGTGGGCTCTCGGCCGCTGCGCAGCTCCTGCGCAAGCTTTCTTGGTTCGACTCTGAGGAGTTTTGTTGTTTTCGGGGGAGGGGGGGGGGGGGCGGGTGGAGGGTTTTTGTTCCGGGTTTGGGGATATTTGTTGATTTGTAGTGCAAGCAAAGTGCTGGAATCTACGTTTCCGTGAGCCGGCTGGACTTTCATTGATTTGAAAGCTAAAGTACTGGAATCGACATCTTAGTGGTCCAATGGCGTCCATTGGGGTTAACACTCAAAAGGTAGGCTCGTCTTTCCCGGCCAGGTGTAGGGAAGCGCGCTCATCCGAAGTTGTGTGCTTAGGGTTCAGGGTTTCGGGTTTATGGCCTCTACCGTGAACTGAACTGAACTGAACTGAACTAAATCCAAGGCCTGCAGAAAAGGAAAAGCGCCCTGTGCAACGCAGGACGGCAGTGGCTCCCTGGTGCCCGCTGGGGCTCCAGAGACGGCGGCTGGTTTTCTGGGCGCGGCGCTAGTGCCTTCGCATACTTCTTGGAGGGAGTTCGGAGGGCTGAGTTGTAGGCAGTGATGTTTCTTTTTTTGGTTTTTCAGTCTTTGGTTTTTCCTCTCCTGCAAGGTCCGCTTCTCCTGCTCAGCCTGGCTCGTGAGCAACTATCCGCAGCTGGCAGCCGACGGCCTCTCAGCAGCTTGGCCATCCGAGGGTGATCGGAAAGGTCTCGAGCCGCCTACACAACGATACACATGCATCGCCCTGGAAAGACGGAACTTCCAGTTTTCACGGCCTGAAAGATAATTGGTACTAGATGGTACTAGTATACCGGCTATACCCTTCTCAAGGGGATCCGAACGACGTGAAAAGATCGAACCGGCCACGTGCGTCCAGGAAATCCTGAAAGACATGAAAAGATCGATTCGGCCGCCGTCCGTCTCTTTGCAGGACCTTCGACAGAAACTTCTCTCTGCGACGCTGCCGGCAATCGGTCTTCGCCAAAGCCTGCTGCCTCACCAGGGGACAGGCGCTCCAGACTCAAAGCGTCGGGGATGGGGCTCGGGGCAATGAGAATGTGAGAAGCAGGCGAAGCTGCAGTGGGCAGGGCTTCTGACCATCCTGTGTTCTATGCTAACCCTTGCCCACCTGCATCATGCGCCAGTGGGTGAGGACATTTGGCCAATGACACTCTTCAGCCTGAGATGCTGGACTGAGCTTTCCTGTGAAGGGATCGCTGACACGGGAATCCTACTTTTTGGGGGTCTATATCAGGGGTCCGTGATTTTCAAAACCCCCACATGACAGAGCTGCAGTTGAGTTCCCACGAGCTTTTGGTCGGAGTTGAGCTTAGTCAGGAGCAATTGGTGGGCGAGGCGATTCATCTTCCCCTTGGCGATATCCATGCCTCTTGGAAGACTCATGTGATGTTTACATACCTCCGGCACATACGAAAGGACAGCACAGCAACATCCCGAACCCATTGCAAACCAGGTTGCCTTGTCCGAGCTGTGGACACAGCTGGAGCCTGCTGTGGGGATAAAATGGCCCCTCCAAGGGCGGCAGTGCAGGCGTTCTGCAAGGCACCTCGATTTTGAGACAGACCCCCATGAGTAAGGATGCGTGCCTGGAGGGTGCAGCGTTTTCTGCTGTGTACGTGTCAGTGAGATTCTTCCAGGAATGTCAGGTTTGGGGGTTAGGCCTAGCATTCTTGCCCTGCACCTTGCTATCCGGCACTTGGCGGAAAGCCTTTGGGCCCACGAAGAAATGCCAGAGGGACCGAGCGCCTAGAAGGTGGCGAATGGTCAGGATCAAGCACTCTTCTATGCCGGTAGTAGGATAAGATCATTAGTGCCAAAATCAGCTATACACCTCCAGGTAACGGTCTGATGTGCGCCAAAGCCTGCCATGTCAGTGCCAGAGCTTCTGACCCTTGCAACCGTCACGTCCGCAGACGGCTGGGATCTTCCAGGCGCTTTGGGTTTCGGGTTTAGGGTTTAGGGTTAGTGCAGAAAACAGCGGCTCCCCCTCAAGAGTTGAATATGTGCATAGGTGTATTGCTGCAGCTAAATACGATTATACTTCTCTATGATTATGTAATGGGTTTATTTTACTGATTCTTGCTTTTTCTTAGCAATGTTATTTTAGGTACATTTTTGTCGTAAGGTACTTTCATGTCGTCTCACTTTTGTTTGCCGCTTTCTGTCCAGGCCAGCCGCTGGAGCCGCTGGGAGCGACCTTGCAGCGATTTGGGGACCTTTCCAAAAGTCGACATCCATCGTTTGGGATGTTCCCCCTTATACTAATCAGTCCTCAGTGGGGATTATCACTGGTCCTTAGTGGGGATTATCATAAAGAGTACCATAATCCCGATTAAGAATGTTTAGGATACGGGGGAACGTCCCAATCCCTCGTGCAGTTGGGAATGTCTGCAACGGCTCTCGCTGCCCCGGAGATCACAAGGTCACAACATCACAGGCAACACAGGATCAACACAGCTCATCGTCCTGGCCCCTAACTTTTGGTACCCTTAACATTGGGATGTTCCCCCTTGTACTAACAGTATGAAGGGATTTTTGTAGGGTCACTGTAATCCCTAGTAAGGACTGTTAGCAGAAGGGGGAACACCCCAACCCTAAACCCTAAACCCTAAACCCTAAACCCTAAACCCTAAACCCTAAACCCTAAACCTTAAACCGTAAACCCTAAACCCTAAACCCTAAACCCTAAACCCTGAACCCTGAAACCCTAAACCCTAAACCTTAAACCCTAAACCCAAAACCCTAAACCCTAAACCCTAAACCCAAAAACTCTAAACCCTAAACCCTAAACCCTAAACCCTGTCTGAGGAAGGCAGACCCAATGAAACGCCCGCAGCGGACCCATCCTCAACGCACGAGGCTTGCGGCTTCCGCAAATGTGCCATGAAGGGCCTCTTATTTTGAGCGTAGACAAGCTCCCAGTGCGGACCCTAAACCCTAAACCCTAAACCCTAAACCCTAAACCCTAAACCCTAAACCCTAAACCCTAAACCCTAAACCCTAAACCCGAAACCCTAAACCCGAAACCCTAAACCCTATACCCCCAACCCTCAACCCTCCAGCGGGTTCACTATCGGGGATGGTTTCGTATCGGGTTTTGCGAGTTTTTTGTTTTTCTGTCCAGGATAAAAAAGGTTTCAGGAAGGAAATTTGCATTTGCGACAGTCCCATGCTAACCATTAGCCTTTCTTCCGAAAACAAAATCAACTTTTGGTTTCTACATTTGCGCACCGCGCACTCGCCTTTCGCACACACTGCGCTTCAACAATGCTACGAAACCCCACGCAGGCCGATGAATTGGTGCTTTTCTTTTCATTGGAAAACCGATTGGCCAGAGCAAAGAAAAATAGGCGCGGAACGCAGTCACTGCGTTCCGTCGTTTGTACCATGTTGAAGAAGAAGAAGAAGCAAAGAATGAAAGAAGAGTGTAAGAGGGAATGCGAAATCATGCGAAAACCATGTGCAGGCCACGTATTCAGGCAATCCCTTTAGAAGTGGAAAAGTGGGCGGGCGCATGGTGCAGCGTCAAAACCATGCAAACGCGTCCCCGATAATGAACCCGTCTGCTAAACCCTCAACCCTAAACCCTACACCCTAAACCCTCAACCTTAAACTCTCAGCCCGAAACCCTAAACCCTTTCTCCCCCGGTGTAGGCAGTAGGCTTCTGGGTTCTTTAGGGAGGATGGCCATGTCTCCAAGTTATGGTCCTTTTCGGGTGCCCTTCCTATGATGTAGCATTACAACAGGAAGCCCAAACCGGGGCCCATCTTCCTTGCAAAGTCCTACATGTCAGGTCGCGAAGCACCCATGGGATTTAGACAAGTACAGGGCTTAGTGCATGGGGCAAATTCTGCGGCATGCGCTCTCAGCCCTATGTGCGTCTAAGCCCCAAAGCCCTATGTTGGGACAACTCCAACTAAATACACCTCAAAGCCTAGCCTCAGACCCCCAGAATGCTAAACCCCCCTCAAAAGCTAAAGTCCCAAAAGTCCTCAAACCCCGACAGCCCTAAAATCCCGAATATCCTTAAAGCCACCCCAAAAAACCCTAAACCCCAAAACCCCAAAACCCTAAACCCCAAAACCCCAAAACCCCAAACCCGAAACCCTAAACCCTAAACCCTAAATCCTAAACCCTAAACCCTAAACACTAAAGCCTTTAACGCCCTCCCGACCTTGAGGGACCACAGGGCGGAGCCGATGCAGAGCCGCGCCTCGGCCTATTTTTTTTGCATTTTCTATTATTATTATTAATATTTTTATTGTTATTACTATTATGATTCTTATTATTATTACTATTACTATTATTATTATTATTATTATTATTATTATTATTATTATTGTTATTGTTATTATTATTATTATTATTATGATGATGATGATGATGATTATTATTGTTATTATGATTATGATTATGATTATGATTATGATGATGATGATTATTATTTTTATTTTTTTAGCATACAATATGGGCTTAGGGCTCGGGCTTTGTTTTTGTTTTGTGTTTGCTTTTGTTTTCGTTTTTCCATTGTTAGCATACAATATGGGCTTAGGCATTAGGCTTCAGGGCTTCGGGTGGAGTGGGGTTTGGGGTTTAGGGTTTAGGGTGGTTTGGGGTTTTAGGGCGTAGGGTTTAGGGGCATCATTGCCCAACATAGGGATGCCCCCTATTCTATCGCAAAATACTGTACTCCTTACTACAGGAACCCCCCAAAATGGGTAGCAAGCGGGGGGCCCGGGTGAAGAAGAAGCCCCAAAGCCAATCGAGCCATGTGGTCGGTAGCCACTTGCTACATCCCTTTAAACCCTACACCCCTGAACTTTTATAAAGCGCACAGCTGCCAACTGGCAGGCCGCCAGAAGACCCCGCAGACAAGCCAGAGGCTGTGACTGTCTCCGGCAGTCCGACGACCATTTTGGCGGGCGTTCTTCCTGCAAATCTCGCTGCCATGGAGAAGGGCGTCAAGGACCTGGAACAAAGGGGATGCCCTGAGGTGAGCCGCCTTTCCTCCATTCTCATCGATTCCAAGCCCCAAGCCCTCACCTCTAAAGGCAACCCAAACCCCTCCGACTCTTGGACCCTCGTCTTCGAAACCTCTGCCTGCACGGAGGAAGTGGAGGAGTCCTCGCTGTCTCTTTCGGGCCTCATCCCGCCCATGGGACATCCTCCGAGCCTCCGGGAGGCCTCTGCCTTCGTGGGCGCGGCGAAGCTTTGCTTGAGGGAAGCACTTTGTGACATTTGGGGGTTTCCGACATTGGGGGGTAACCTTTTTGGTGTCCTTGGTGGATGTCCTCACGGTGCCTAGGAAATGGGAGGGGGGATCCCAGGTACAACGGTTTCAGCTTTGTGGTCTGTGTATGTCTGTGTTGTTGAAAGGCGTGTTGAGCCCTAAGTCACCCTACTCTTCCCTAGTGCCGTTGTCAGGAAGAGAGCATCCCTGAAGCAGCCGCTGAAGTTCGACAACGTGCAGGACTTCATCGTGGACTGCCTAAGGCAGACCAACCACGCCGACGGCTCCGACACACCCTCCTCGGTCGCGGATAAGGCGCCTTCCCTGAGCTTCTCCTAAACCTCCCTAAGCTTCCCCTAAGCTTTCCCCAACACATCTCCTGAGTAGACCTTCCTAACCCCTCCCAAAACCCTCCACCGGTGAAAGATGGCCAGGAGAAGGACGACGATGAGCTGCTCAAGGTGAGCTCCGCGGAAGAGGAGTTGGCCCGGCTGAAGGTGGAGACCATGCGCTACATGGTGACCTCTGTGAAGCTTGGGGGCCAGAAAGTGGGGGCCACGCTTTCTTTTATTGGTCGCCCTTCAAAACCGGGGCCCTAAACCCCGAACCTGAGGAACACCCTTAAACCCTGAACCCTAAACTCCCGAAGCTCCAAACCCTGAACCATGAGCCCTAAACCCTAAACCCTAAACCCTAAACCCTAAACCCTAAACCCTAAACCCTAAACCCTAAACCCTAAACCCTAAACCCTTAACCCTAAAATCCTAAACCCTGAACCCTGAACCCTAAACCCTAAACCCTTAAACCCTAAACCCTAAACCCTAAACCCTGAACCCTAAAACCCCAAGAGCTGAGGAAGTACAGCTTGGGGGAGTCCCTCCACACCAGCCGAGTGATCTACTTCACCAACGACCAGGCCCTCAAGGCCCCTGGCTGGTGAGTGCGCAGTTTGAGGAGTTGAGGAGGTTAAGGGTTTAGAGGGTTTAGAGGGTTTAGAGGGTTTAGAGGGTTTAGAGTGTTTAGAGGGTTTAGAGGGTTTAGGGGGTTTAGAGGGTTTAGGGTTTAGGGGTTTAGTGTAGAGGGTGTAGAGGGTTTAGAGTTAGAGGGTTTAGAGGGTTGAGGGTTGAAGGTCCTGTATCAAAGCGGGTCCAGGGCGCAGAGACAGTGTTCAACTGTTTGGGCTCAGGGTTCAGGGTTTAGGGTTTACGCAATTTAGGCTTAGGGTCTTGGGTTTAGGGTTGTTATGCGCTTAGGCGCCCTGAAGGTGTCACCAGTGCAGATGCCCATGGTGAGGGAGGCGCCTTGGACCCCAAGCCGAGACGCCATGTGAACCCCATAAACCCCAAACCCCTGAGCTCACGTGCCGCCTAAACCCGAAACCCTAAACCCCAAACCCCTAAACCCTAAACCCTAAACCCTCAACCCTCAACCCTCAACCCTCAACCCTCAACCCTCAACCCTCAACCCTCAACCCTCAACCCTCAACCCTCAACCCTCAACCCTCAACCCTAAACCCTAAACCCTAAACCCTGAACCCTGAACCCTGAACCCTAAACCCTAAACCCCAACCCTCAACCCAGGCCCTAAACCAGCGAAAAGAGGCAAGCACTCGCATTGCATTCTGAAGCACGCTCATGCGGTTGTACGAGGATGCCACCCGCCACCGCGCAGTGTTTCGGGCCTGTGGGGAAAACAAGAAACATGAGGTTAACGTTTTCTTTATTGTTGGCTGTTCGTGCCCGAACACACAAAAAAACACGAGGTTGTGTGAGGATGCCGCCCGCCACTTTGTTGCTCCTGCGACCGAAAACAAGAAACATGAGGTTTAGCAAAGTTTGGTTGTTTTTTGGCTGTGCGTGCCGGAAAAATCCAGAGTGATTTAGCTTTGTTGGCTCACCCTCCCCCCCCTCCCCCCTCCTCTTGTTTTGACGTGGTTCCTTTGGAATTGGTGCCCCAATAACCACGCCTACCGCGGGCCGATTGAGTTGTTCGAGTGGGATGGACCGCTCCATGACATGACAGAGTGAGGTTGGGGAACGGGGCTTGCTGATGAAAAATATGCTTTCTTTCTTCATGTTTTGGGATTCTCTGGGTGGGTGGGTTTTTTTCTAGAGTCAAAGCGGCTCCTAAACCCGAAACCCGAAACCCTAAACCCTAAGCCCTATAAACCCTAACCCCCCAAGGCGCTGGGAATCCATGAGCCCAAATTGGTCATCCGCCTGGTGCCCTGCCAGAAGGGCCGGACGTATTGGGAGGGCCGGCCAGCCATCAAGAATATCCTTCCTACCAAGGCCAGAATCTCTGGTGGTGGTGGTGGTGGTGGGGGTGTTTTGGGGTTTAGGGGGTTGAGGGGTTTAGGGGTTTAGGGGTTTAGGGGGTTTAGGGGTTTAGGGGGTTTAGGGGTTTAGGGGTTTAGGGGTTTAGGGGTTTAGGGGTTTATGGGGTTTAGGGGGTTTAGGTCCCTGAAACTAAGCCCTCAGTCAACCCTCCAGGGGGCAGGTGTGCGGGTTTGCGGGGGATGAAGGGGGGGTTGCGGGAGAGTATTGGGTGTTTTTGCAGAAGTCTTTACCTGGGGTCTGGGCTCTTGCTAACTCACCCCCCTGCACCCCCCAAGACTCCCACAACTCGGAACATTTCGGAGGCCAATCCTGAGCTCGAGGGCCATGAGCAGCTGGTGGAGACGGACCTGAACCTCATTGCCCGTGAGGTTCTGCTGCCTGTGGCCATGAAGAGCCTGGGCTGGCGTGTGTTTTGCCATTCATGGTGCCCACGGCTCTTTCCCTAAACCCTAACCCTAAACCCTCAACCCTAAACCCTAAACCCTAAACCCTAAACCCTAAACCCTAAACCCCAAAAAACCCCAAACCCTAAACCCTAAACCCTAAACCCTAAAGAAGCTTCAAGGACCCATGCCCTCATCGTTGGCACGAGCTCCTGCAGCCTCACGAGGGCATTCGCCGAAGTGAGTGCGCCTATCCAGCGCCGCTATGGGGAAGCCTGCCCGTTTCGTATGGTGACGTGGCCGCTGCCCTTTACAAGCTTGGTGGCCCTTGCCTCAGTGGGTTGAAGAAGACCTCCCGATGGAAAGCCGAGGTGATTTTTGAGCATGCTTGGAACCTGCACGTGCGCTCCACCATGAAGAGCGACAGCGTGGAGCACATTCTGAAAGAGAAGAGTACCTCCTGGAGCAACGCCAACTTTGTGAAGGCCCTTTGAGAAGGTGTATGCTCCAGCATGTCCAACATACTGTTAAACCCCAAGGTCCGAAAGCCTCTTAGAGTCTTAGATCCTGCTGCCTGCATCTCCTTTTGAGGCCCTGTCCCACAAGTTCGGCTGCGATCCAGCATTTTGGCCCCAGCAGAAACTGGTCAAGGGGGCTGCAGCCTACATGGTCTTCGAATGCTTGCAGCTCGACCTATGAACCCTACCGCGAGCCCGACATCGATTTGGGGGCACAACTTAGGGTGTAATCCTGTAACCCCCATCTTTGAGGAACGAGGAACGCCTGCACGACTCGCGCGCGGCTGTGCAGTTCGAGAACATGTTCATCACGTCCCTGCACACCTACCTGCCGCTTGGGTAAGGAAAGAACCTCTTCACACAGCGTATAGCCCAAACCGGAAAAAATAAGACCTGAACCCTCCAACGATCCCGCTTAGCCAAACCGAACCTCGTAAACCCTGAGACTATGACATAAATCCCGCACCCTGCAGTGCCCTAAAGCCTCCAAAAATCGAATACCCCAAGCCCTGAACCCCGAAACTGAGCCCCAATACCGAATACCGCAATACCTGAATGCCCGACTGCCCAAGCCCTAAACCCTCAACCCTCAACCCTCAGCCCTCAACCCTCAACCCTAAAAACCCTAAACCCTAAACCCTCAACCCTAAACCCTTAACCTAAAGCCCAAGAGGCCGGTCTTGGCGCTTTGGACTAACGGAGACCTGAACACCTTGAGCCCGCAGGTGGCGCCACCATGGCCAAGTAGGTGTATTAGGGTTTAGGGGTTTTAGGGGTTTTTGGGGTTTAGGGGTTTAGGGGTTTAGGGGTTTAGGGGTTGAGGGTTTAGGGGTTGAGGGTTGAGGGGTTGAGGGTTGATGGTTTAGGGGTCTAGGGTTTAGGGGGTTGAAAGGTCACCGACTTGCGGGGGGTGGTTCGGGGTTCACGTTCGGCGGGATCTCTTCTCTGAGGGATTGGCGTCACATCTTCGGTTTTAGGTTTTTGGATTCTTCTCTGAGGAGTTTTATTTAGTCTTTGGGCGATTGGGGCTCAGGCGGGCTCAGGAAAGATTTTGGGCCTCTGGGGTATGGAGCGTTGCTAGGGGGTTTCATCAGGACTCCAGGGTATATTTTGTAAGGCTTTAGGTATCCGTGGCCGAAGCCCAAACCTTGAACCCAACTCGGCCCAAAGGGAGTACCGAGCTGGCAGGTGGCCAACCACGTGGCCTGAATGCACGGGGGTGAATCCGCTCTGGCCGTTGGGCTGTTAGTAGCTGCTCGTGAGGATGAGACCCTACACCCAAGTCCCCAAACTCAAAACCCTTAGCATATGCTCATACTCATCGGAAAACCTACACCCTAAGCCCTAAGCCCAATGCTCATAGTACAAAGGTACTCTGGAGTTTTCAAGGTTCCAGGTGTGCCTGGTCTGGGCTTCCGCTAGTTGTTGCCCTACTCAAGCGAAAGCCTTGCCCAAAGGCAAGGGCAGAATAAGACAGTCATCCGTAGTCATTCCTGCTCCGACTCTTGTCGCCCTAAACTGTACTTCCTAAACCCGCAACCCTAACAACCCTCAACCCGAAAACCCAAACCCCTCAACCCGAAACCCTATACCCCCAAGAGCCTGAACACACATCGCGCCAAGCCAGCAGACCCCCCAAGCGGCTATCTCAGGCCGCCAGAGAGCTCCTAGAACCCTTAACCGACCCACGCCCTGAACTTCTTAGTAGTGACTATCATCATCTCGCTATGGCCAGTATAATGAGTATGAGCACTGTTCGTATTTGAGTGTGATTTTGTCATATTTCTGGTACGGTGGCGACTAGGGTTCAAGTTTTCTGTTTCTTTCACTGGTACGAGTACCTAGAATTATTTCTGCTAGTGTACTATTGCTATCACGACTACCATGGCCATGATGACAGTGACCACCCTCAGCATCACCCTCATCATCAGCATCATCAGACTAGCTGACACTAGCAGAGCTACTCATAGTTACAACCATGTTCATGTTAGTTTTCGTAAGACATCAGTAGAAGCACAATGTTTTTTTATCATGAGTGATCGTAGGTTCAATGATGTTCGTAAGAATATTCGTGTTGGTACCAATATTGCAGTAAACGAAAACATGTTTCCAGCTTTAGCAATGCTATGGATGTTTTCGCGTTAGCGGTAAGGATGCTTAGTCATCATGGGCGCAACGCTCACATTTTGCTGGCATCTTCCCTGTTGCTTTTGATCTTGGGGTAGTTCCGAGCCCTAAGTCCCGAACCCCCAGAAAAAAGGTGACGTGTGGCATCCCCCTGATCATCATGGACAGCCGGCACCATGACTTGGTCGATGCCGACGACGTGGAACCCGCGGATGATGGCTTGGAAAGCGCTTCGCCAAGTTTTTTTGGGGGCCCTTCTGGGGGTTTGGGGGGGCAGGCGTTGAGTTTTCAGGACGAGGCGTGCTCCTGGGAGGACTTGATGGAATTCGTGGACACGCTCAGGGATTGAAAGATTTGGAGGGTTTTGCGGTGTTCGCTTGGCGGCGGCGAGCAGAAGTGAGTAGGCACCCCATTCAAGGGCAGCTCTCCCCACTCCCCACCCACTCCCCCCTGCCCCCCCCCCCACCCCTAAACCCTAACCCCTGACCCCTAAACCCTAAGCCCTAAACCCTAAACCCTAAACCCTAAACCCTAAACCCTAAACCCTAAACCCCAAACCCTCAACGAAGGCAGATTCGGCTTCTCGGACCCGTCGATGCAAGAGACTGTGCGCAAGCTGTCGACGCTGGGCAAGGCTCTGAACAAGACTCCGAGTTGCAGTTGAGTGGTAGGGGGTAGAGGTTAGTGAACACCACCTTTGCATGATAATTCTGGGTGAAAACATACATACATACATACATACATACATACATACATACATACATACATACATACGTACATACGTACATACGTACATACGTACATACGTACATACGTACATACATACATACATACATACATACATACATACATACATACATACATACATACATACATACACATATATGTATATATATATATATATGCGTATATGACTATGTTAATAGGTATAGATATAAATATAAATCTAAAATTGGTTATAGATATAAATTAAGAAAATATACATCTAAAGTGAAATATAAATACATCTAAATAGAAATAGAAATAGAAATAGAAATAGAAATAGAAATAGAAATAGAATTTGAAGATCAACTAAACAAATGAATATGTATTTATGTATATGGTAATTATGACTATCATGATCATGGTTGTGTGAGTGAGTCTCGCTCACGATATTGTGTGTTCTGAGTGCTCCCAAGGAGAGGCCTCTACGACATGCACATCGCGTCGGCGCTGAGCTGCGTGCGGACGGGGTCGCTGGGCCCAGGAGCTAGGAAGCTTTAGTTTGCTCCTTTAGGGTTTAGGGTTTAGGGTTTAGGGTTTAGGGTTTAGGGTTTAGGGTTTAGGGTTTAGGGTAAAGAAGCTTCTCTCTCTGGCGTAAGAGCTGAAGCCTCTTTTCTCTCTTTTTTTCTCATCCTCATCCTCTCCTCCTTTCTGCAGATCTGCAGAGCGACTCAGGGTCAACAACAGCACTGGCGGCTCGGGCCCGAAGACTCGCTTGGACGCTTTCCTGCACCTGAGGACACCAACAGCGGCCGCTGTTCATGTGAAAACTCGCGTCCTGATTGGCAGCCTAGACCTGAGCCCTAAACCCTAAACCCTAAACCCTAAATCCTAAACCCTAAACCTAAATCCCTAAACCCTAAACCCTAAACCCTAAACCCTAAACCCTAAACCCTAAACCCTAAACCCTAAGCCCTAGACTTTGATATGAGGTGAGGGGGAGGGAGATTCCATTCCGTGAGTTTCCAGCTAAAGGTCTTGGAGAGCTGATCCTACATCTCAGCAGGGCATCGGCTTGGGGGACGTGTGGGGATCGTAAATGCAGGGCCCTTGTGTCAGGGCTGTTTTGTCTTTTTTTGGTGTGTGTGTGTGTGCATCATAGTATGCTCCCGATGGTTGAGGGTACCAACACAGGTTTTGGGGCTTCAGGTTTCCTCGACATTTGCTTAGATGCAGGCGTGAGGAGTTGGGACACTCATGCTTTTGACATTCGCCTTTTGTGATCGCGTTGACTCGTTGACTTTAGTGCAGGGACTTGAATGATTGGAACCAGGAGTAGTTAGCCCAAGCAAAAACCACCTTATAAACCCTACGTCCTACAGAATAATATTCAGAATGATCAGACTATAATAGTAATAAATAATAATAATAGTAATAGTAATAATGAGAATACTAATGATAATAATTTTACTAGTAGGAATAGTAGTAGTAATAGTCATAAAAATCATAGTAATAGTATGATGATGATGACGATGATGATGATGATGAGAGCCCTGCTGGGGCTATGGGTCGCTGGCTCCAGCCATGGGTTTCAAGAGGCGCATGCCAAGTAAGGTGAGTAAAGAAGTTCCTGTAGCCTCTGTCTCCGGGGGGCATCTTGCCGTGATGCACCCCATCAAGCAGAAGTGGAGCCCTCAACCCCAAGCAGCTTTCTGAGCACAGGACCGGAATCATTGGCTTTACGACGCCATCGTGGACGCCATGGTTGAGGCGGCCCATGGCGATCCTCCCCCTGGATTGGATGGAGACGACAACATGACTGTGGCTGGGGCGCGGTTCAGAGGGGCTTCTCAGGGTCCTCGGAGGGTGGCTGTTTGTGTTCGGGTTGGGGTGGCAAGGTGCGTTGGCATTGATCAAGGTCCTTGCTGCTGATGCATGTCGAGATCATTGGTAGCCATGGGGTTTTGGTGTGTTCTGCCTTTCATGATCCCTAAACCCGAAACCCTAAACCCTGAACCCTAAGCCTTAAGCCCTAAACCCTAAACCCTGAACCCTAACCTTTGGCATCCATGGTTGCAAGCTCGTACAGGGGTGGGGCTGCTCAACCTAGCACAGATTCACCCATCTTTGCCTTTGGAATGTATCTTGGGTGCTTATCAAGCCACGGCACGAGGCAGGCCCTTAGGATATTTTACATGTGCTCCATCGCCCCCCCAAGACAAAATACGAGAGCTTTGATCCCAAACACCCGACAGTTGTAAGGCTTTGTTATGGTTTAATGGCTTGGTTGGGCTTGCTCAGGACCTCGATGGCGGTGAGGAGCTGCTTCTTGGGCGTTCATGAGAGTCAGAAGAAAGACCGTGGGCGCAAGTTTTGTTCCGTAGCATGTCCCTGAGTCCAAAAGAGCGTTGAGCCCTCTTGAACAGCCTAGGATTAGCAAGGCTACCGAGTTCTTCCTCTCCTACGTAGGCGCGGACTTGGGCTGAGAGCTTCCGCTCTCGCCTATTTTGTTTGTGTTTAGGATGTGGGGTTGAATGCAGGCTCCATGTGGGACTTCAGGACCTGGGCGCGACGACCGCATGAGACCAAAAAAACTTCCTGGCATCCGCTCGGGAATGCTAGCAGCTAGCAATCGTACGCAGCCCCCCCCGCTGATTTGAATGTGGTTTGTTCGCAGACATCCATGTTGCGACGCAGCTGTTTGTGTGCACGCTGCACGATGTGTTTTTTTGTTTTGCAAAGATGTTGCACCGGGCTTGACGATGCCAGGGAATGGTCCAAACATTCTATAATGTACGCCATGTCCAACTCGTCAACCCAGAGACGCCCTGCAAGAAACGAAGCAGGCGAAAGTCCCGCCCAAAGAAGGTGTCACAAAGGGGTCACAAAGACACCCCTAGGAAGGCACACCTCAAGTCAGCTCCCATTCCTTGCGCAGCTGAAGGCGACCAGACGTACAAGGAGGCGCAGGTGAACACCAGCCGGATGGAGGAGGCCATTCGGAACCTGGAGGCCCCTGGAGGGGCCTTGGGGGTTCCATCTGCTTGAGTTAGGGTTCAGGCACTTGGGGACTTGGGGTCTATGTTTGTTTTTGGCTGTTCTTGTCTTCTCCCTGAGGTGGTGCACTTCAAAGAAAGCCTAGACTCTGAAGCCCCTAAAGCCTTCCTGAAAGCCCCACACCCCTGGTGCTCCTCTAACCCTAAACCCTAAACCCTAAACCCTAAACCCTAAACCCTAAACCCTAAACCCTAAACCCTAAACCCTAGGGCCCTCGGTGTTATTCGAGGCGTGCACGACGTGGCAAGAGCTCGAGGAAACCTGGAAGCCCGAGAGCAAAAAGCTGCACAACGCCATCGCCCACAACGGCTGGGATAAGGTGGGGTTTAGGGTTTAGGGTTTAGGGTTTAGGGTTTAGGGGCCTCAGTTCAAGAAGGTTGAGGGTCGGGCAGATCAGACTTGAAAGCGCAGGTTTGAGGATTTCGGTGCAACGGGCTCGGTGCGTTTAGGTGGGGGCCCTTTAAGCCTGAAGCCCTAAAGCTTGCAGCCAAGAGTTGAAGCGTTTGTGCTTTTAGGGCTTGATGATTTGGGGCAGGGGGTGGCCGGGGGGGGGAAAGGGTTTGGTGTTTTAGGGTTGTGGGGGTTTCGGGCTTTTGCTTCTTTCGGGGTTCTGTGGCTTCAGGGGTGCAGGGTTTCAGCACCAGGTGTTGGCCCTGCACCCCTCATGCTTACCTCCTCAGTTCAGGTTAGGGCACGGACCAGACAAAGACCCCAACACAAACCAACGGCGCTCCAACTCAAACTCGTGAGAAGCGCGAAAGCTTCATTCCCAAAACCAAGAGCACCCAAGCATCTGCATGCAATCTGCAATCCTGGCCCCTATAGCCCAGAGGCTCCGGCCCTATGTATATAAGTTAGGAGCCTGGCTGTTGAAATGGTCGAAGTATTCAAGGCGTCGAACTAGAAGAAGGGTTATGGCTATTCGGCTCTTGCTAGTTTTCACCTCCAACAACCTCCCGGTCAAACAGCCCTAAACCCTCACCCCCAAACACAAAGCCCCTTTTCACTTTTGACCTCTTCAGGTCACCATGGAGGGAAGCGCTTCTGCCGAAGGGGTGCCGGTGATCCTCGCCAGGCCCAAGAGAAGGGATTCCTGGTGGGTTGGGGGTTTGTAAGGGTCGTTAGGGCAAAGTTAGCTAATCCCTCAACCTTTTTCCGTAAACCGGGCTTGGAGGGAACGTTTAGCTAATCCCCCAACCCTTTTCCCTAAGCCCCCTTAGTTGTTTGGAGGGCCCAGGGCGGTCTGGAAGACGGATGGCTTTGGCACGTCGTGTTGCAGTGTAGGCGTGCCTTTGTGTGCCTTTGTGCCGTCCTTGCTGCCGCCAGGCCCCGGAATGAGTTCTTGCCGACGGGCATCTTGGCTGGAAATGTCATGAAGGGACGTGTTTTGGAGAAACTGAGCTTGCGCACCGAGGATTCTTCAAGTTCGAGCTCAACCGAGAGTTGGAGCAGATGGGGGTCTCCGTCACCGAGGCCCAGCGCTCGCTCCTCGCCCATCTGCGCAAGTGGCTCCGGGCCGACCGAGACTACGATGCCAAGACGTCAGGACCGAAGCGACTGCTGAATGACAAAAAGAAGTGGCTGGCCGTGTACGACATTCTGAAGACCGGCCACGTGCACAGCTGCAGCCTGAGCGACTATCGTTCCCTTAAGCATCTGATCCAGAAGCTCTCCCGGTCGGAGAGGCTGCCCGACAGCAGCAGCCTTGAAGCCCTCCTGCTCCTACGCTGCGCGTGGACCCTGGCGGACATCTTCAACGAAAAGGCCGCCCAGTACAAGTTCTGGGCGAAGATGGCCTATGCCACCTTGCTCCTGATGGGTGTTGTTGTTGCCTGGCTGCGTCTAGAAGCACCCCAGGGGAGTGCCTGCATGGTATAGGCGTAGACAGTGTGCAGCCATTTTGTGCAAGGCTTCAAAGCTTGAGCAACTGTGCACTGGCCTAGGGCGGGGGTGGTTTTGTTGCTGGGCCGGTGAGGTTGTCGTCTTCACCACAGCTCAATGGACAGTGGATGTGCCAGACCAGACGAAGAAGTATGTTGCTGCTTGGTGGGCAGTGGGCTCCTGGACCCCCCGGAAGTCAGAAGCATGCGGAATCCCCAGCACCCGAAGCCCTGAAACCCGGAACCCTTGAATCCTTCCGAAGATCTCCGAGGTTCTTGGCCTGGGCTTGGGATCCAGCAGCTTCTTGGAGTTGCTTCAGGATGGGTATTGGGCTTCGAGGGCTTCAGGGCTTCAGGGTTTCAGGGTTTCAGGGTTTCAGGGTTTTGGGTTTCAGGGTTTCAGGGTTTCAGGGTTTCAGGGTTTCAGGGCGGAGAGTGCAACCCAATCTCCAAGCCCTGCGCCGAACCCCGAACCCCCGGACCTTAAACTTAAACCTTGACATCTGACCCTGGAGCCCCTAAGCCCTTCCCTGCAACCTAAGCTCTTCAGCCCTGATCCTCAAACCCCGAAACCTTCAAACCCTTAAGCTCTGGAAATTTTTGAGGTCCTAAACCCTGAACCTTGAACCCTGAACCCTGAACCCGAAAACCCTAAACACTTCCGAGGCCTAGCGGCTTGGATCACCTTCACCGATCCGGGAAGGCGGCGTCTTTTTCAGGGGAGTCGAAGGGCTTCTAAGGGTTGCGGGTTCAGGGGTTTGGGGTTCAGAAACCTCAAACCCTCAACCTCCAAAGCCCTAAAACCCTGAACCCTAAATTAGGAGTTTAGGGGTTGACAGGATTGAGGGTGCTGAGGTTGAGGGCGACTTAGGGCTTCAGGGTTTCAGGTTTCGGGCTTCTGGGCTCAGCCTCCGATGTGGCTTTTGGCTTTACCACAGCCTGCATGGGGAGTCGAGTTGCATCTGCAGAGCTATCGGTCGTGTAAGAGTGCTATTTCTTTTAACGGGAGTTGCCACCTGCAACAGTTCGGCTTCCTTACCGCAGCCTTTTGCTCACGTTCTACGCGGGTTGTCTTGCGGCGTTGTTGCGGCATGCTCCGCGAACTCTTGGTCCTTTCCCTCCTGTGCTGCGGCAGTGCTTGTACTGAGGGAAACTGCAGTACTCCCGAAGCGGAGTATGCAAGCCACCTTAGTCTGCACGTGAAAAAGTCGCATGCTGCTAGCAGCACAGCTCGAGGTCGTCAACCTGGCAATGGAAATGGAAATGGCAACGGCAACCGTCGACGCCGACCCACAACGGAGCCTCCCACAGAGCCTCCCACAGAGCCTCCCACAGAGCCTCCAACAACGGAGCCTCCCACAGAGCCTCCAACAACGGAGCCCCCGACAGAGCCTCCCACAGAGCCACCAACGGAGCCGCCGACAGAGCCACCAACGGAGCCGCCGACAGAGCCACCAACGGAGCCGCCGACAGAGCCTCCGACACCCGGAGAGAGGCATCCCCCAGACATGTCCCCCAATCATTGTCGGCCACTTGATTCTCAGGGCAATGTGGCTGGATTACAGCTGCGCACGCGGAAAGAGATTTCAAACCTGGAAGAATGGGAATGGTCTTTGTTCCGGGATGGCATGCAGCTTTTGAAGGACAGGTTTGGCAATGATCCGGGTGCGTTCATTTGCAATCCTCCAGGCTTCTGCAGTGAAGCTCCTGACTACTTTCAGACATGGGAGTCCTTCATCAGCTTCCATCCCAATCTGCACAGGAATGGCAATGATTTCTTGCTTGGGCACCGGGCTTTCGTCCTGGACTTGGAGACGATCTTGCAGCATCTCACGAATGACTGCAGGCTCTTCATCCCCTACTTTCAGTCCTTCGCGGTGTCCACCAGCCCGATGCAGGCAACCTACGTGTGGAACTCGGAACGCTTGGGGGACGTGTCCTTCATGACCGGCAGCTCGGCAGCGTTTAGTGGCAGGGTAGGGCACCAAGGGAACCCCAGCAGCTGAGGGAAGTTTGTGGAATCACCGTTTTTTTCCGATGTGTTTTTTATTCCAAGAGGCAATGGTAACAGAGACTGTCGCTACAATGGCGGCAACGCCTATTGTGTGCGAGATGGCATTGCGGCTGGGTGGACCTTCGATAAGAGCAGTGCCCCAGGCAGGCACGTTTCTACAACCTTGTGAAGTGCTTTGCAGGAAGTGTGCATATGTATGTGTGTATGTGTGTGTGTGTGTGTGCGTGCCGAAAATTGCAGGTGTTCAAATCAAGCGTCAGGAAATTTCAGGAACACCAGGCCCTCATAGATCAGGCAATATGTGCCCTGGTTAAAAGCGGGTAGGGCTTTGGGTTCTTGATGCAGATATTTGAGACACCAAGATATCTCTGACGTCTGCCTCTGGCCGAAAAAGGGTGCTCACCTTCTTACTCTCTGCGAAGATGGCGGCTAGACACTACCAGAGATTGTGAAAGCTCATTGTGTAGTCTTTGTTCTCTGGTATTGGTGCACTGTTCTGGTTCCTTGTTCGTCAAAAAGAAGAATCAGAAGCAGAGAGGCTCTGGTGAATGTAGATGGGTTGCAAACAGATGCAAGAAAGAGGCAGTCAACGACATTCGCCGCGCAAGTATCAGCACATGTAGTACAAGGCTGAGTGCACCGGCCCAGAACTGCAAAAACCTAGTGGAAAGTGGGGTCTCGCAGTTTCTTGGGAGGGGTGGGGCGAGCGGTTGGCAGGGGCGGCTAAGGCACCCCAGTTTCTTCAAGCGAAAGTCCTGAGTATGGGGAGCCAGGGTTGTGCAGGTGATAAGAGGTGGCAAACAGGCCTACGGTCGGGGCCGAGGTGCAGTGCACCTCCCACTTTCATGCAGATGTCCTGGAGTTGTGCGTGCAAGTCTCTTTGCTGTTGCAAACCTCTTGGTCAGGCAGAGGCTGCAATGGTTGCATTGCGCGAAGCCCCAGCATGACTCGCGGGATTGGGTGGACGTTGTCAGACGTCTTCTTGCGCATGGAGACCCTGACAGCCTACGAGGACATGAACAACTGGATTGATGGTGTGCATGGTGCGCTCCACGTAATCATTGGCGGCATCATGGCTTACATCACCGACGCTCCCGCAGACCCGGCCTTCTTTGCGCATCACTCGATGGTGGAGTGGGTTCTCTGGTGGTGGCAGGTCAACAACGTCCTCACCAACCAGGGGGACACTTTCTCATGCCAGTCCTGTCACGAGAACATTGCGGGCTACAACGTTCCGCGTGAAGAGTGGTTGGGTGCCGGCTATGATGCAGACCTGGGCTGCATCAAGATCCCAAAGTCCGATCCCAGGGTCTGTCTCCGTTACGAGAAGTTCCGGCCAACGGATGAAGAGCCGGGCCCAGGCTTGAAGACCTTTGTTCCAAGTCCTCACCCCCAAGCTCTCCCCCCGAAACCTTGCAACAAGGCCCAAGAGTCAAACACTCTAAGGGTTTAGGCGGCTTAGGGTCTTCGGCGCCCTGAGAGGTTTGATTCAAGGAGCTCCCTTTTCGGGAGAAGCAGGTGGGGCGGAGTGCATTCAACTTTTCGCGAAGATGGAGGCGCGCGTGTGTTCCCCTGAGGCTTTGGAGAAGGCGGGCGTTCGTCAATCACGGTTTCTTGTATTGGCCTAAAGACGAGCTCAGTATAATGGGTACTTCCCCGAAAAGGGGGCCACTTAGCCACCCTTGACGAAACCTCCCTACACCCTAAACCCTAGACCCTAAACTGCGTAGCCGAACAGCACGCTTCACTTGAAATTTCAGCGGGAGACTCCATAATCGACAGCTGCCCATACACTTAGGTTTCAGGGTTTGGGGTCTAGGCTTTAAATAGGGCTCAGGGTTTGGGGTCCAGGGTTTAGGGGTCATGGCAAGCTTTATCGAGACTCCTAGCATGCTCAGCCGAATGTCCAGGTTGTCCCAATGAGGGTGCCTATCGCAGGGGCAGGGGGGGGGGGCCTAAAAAGGGACTATGCTATCTAAACGTACCGAATTTTTACATGCTTGTGTCTTTCTTCTTTCGGTTGTAGATCCCATGTAGGCATTTAGTAGCAAATTGAGCAGTAGACCAGGACCAGTTGACAAGACTGTCTTGGACCATACGAATTGCTTGGCAAGCACTCTAGCGTGCCCCAGCCACCCTAAACCCTAAACCCTAAACCCTAAACCCTAAACCCTAAACCCTAAACCCTAAACCCTAAACCCTAAGCCCTAAGCCCTAAACCCTAAATCCTAACCCCTAAACCTAAACAGGTTGAAAAGACATACATGTTCAACAAGAAGGAGTTCCTTGAGATGTGCCTTTCCTTCATCGAGTCTGGCAAGGATGAGATGCCCCCGGAGCACTACGAACACATGGTCGGCGTGTGCAGCTTCCCCTTGAGAGCTTTAGGGTTTAGGTTTTAGGGTTTTATGTTTAGGTCAGCATTGCCCAGTTCGGGTTGTAATGTTAGCCCATCACATGCCCATCAGTCTGACGTGGGTCCAAAGCATGTCTAGGCAACCATGGTTTTTTTTCGATGAGCTTTTTTCACAGGATCCAAACCACACCCCCCGCAAACCCCCCTTGCTCAAAAACAAAGCCGACATAAACCTTAATACGGCTTATTTTTTGAAGCAAAGCGCCTTATGTTCTGGCCCTTTCCTGGTTCTGAGAAGTTATGAGCACGTGTTGCAGGGCAGCCCAACCCCCGCCCAGAAACCCACATAGCCTCTGTCGGGTTTATTTCGGCCTCTTTGGGTTTTATTTCGGTTTTATCTCGGTCTTATCTTGGCCTTATTTCGTTGCAGTCTTATTTTTGCCTTATTTCGGCCTTATTTCGGTCTTATTTCAGCCTTATTTCGGCCTTATTGCGGGTTTATTTCGGCCTTACTTCGGCCGTGTTTCGGCGCTCATGGGCGCAACCGACACCCAGAACCCCACAATTTGCCTCTGTCGCCCAGTAGCTTTATCCTTATCTTCCGAAACAACATCTGGAAAAATAAGCCTTATTGAGCCCTATTTTCGTTTTATTTCTTCCAGCCCCTGCTCTGAGAAAATAAGCACTAATACAGTAAGGCTTATTAAGGCTGATTCAGGCTTATTAGTGATTATTAGTGCTTTTTTTTGTTACTCTTTTTTTTGTCCTTATTTTCTGGCTAGGGGGTTTGGGAGGGGGGGGGGGGTCTTGCTTTCTGTGATTTTTTGTTTTCCCTGCTGGGTTTTCTGCGGTACAGTAAGGTAACAACATTGCTGATGAGGGCGAGAAGGCCGACAAGAGGAGTCCGCATGCCAAGCCCAAAAACCGGGCAGAGCAGGTTACTGGTGTCTCAGCCGCCTCGTAGATCACTATTCTTGTTGGGGTGTGTTTTTTGGGGCTCAAAGGTTAGGTTAGGGGTTCGGGGTATGTTCTAACAGCAGCTTATAAACTTCGTCGGCACAGTGCCGGCTGGATTGGGGGCACAAGCTAGTGAGTATTGAGCCCACCAGTGTAAGTAGCTCATTGGGCAACCTGAGGTATGGGATGCGCACATGCACTTCGCCTTTGCCAGGATTATTGATTGGATTTTTGGTCACGCTTAATGGGCTTCCGGGCTTGCCAGGCACAGCCCAGCAATTTCAAGCATTTTATGCATAGGTCTGCTTAGAGCAGTGCCTTGGGCCTCCATGCATCACGATTCATTGAGATAAACTCGGGCCGCTGTGAGACAAAGCTTTCGATGTCTTACAGGCAGCAACGCCCTGAAGCCATCAGCCTGCTTTGCTGTTGGAGGCCCATGTTCTCTTTTGTTTTAAGAAGCTTCCTGCGATTTTGTCAAGCTGCCAAGAGGAGCAGCCCGCAGTTTGAATGAAAAGGTCACGTCTAGCGGAGAGCTCGACAGGGCTTGGGGCTTAGGGGTTTTTCGGCAGGAGGGTAAAGGAACAAGTCATGGCATGAATCTCGAACTTTTGGAAAGACCCCCACCCCTCTCCCCCGGCTTCACAGAAACAAGAGGACTCCTGAGACCAGAACACAGAGCTCTCCATGCTTAGCGAAGCCCTGGACCAAGGAAGTGGCTGAAACTTCGATCGGGGTCACAGATGCTTCAGGCGGAGATCTGGCGCTTCAGGACAGGCGAACGGAAGCTCCGGAATCACTGGGGCACTCTGCCTAGGTTTTCCATAGCTTTCCTAAACATGGGGCCCCCTGAATTGCTTGACACGGCATGGCCTTGAGGGAGTCCTCTACTTCTGACGAGCGACCCGATTCATGAAGGACGAGGGTGGGTGCCTATGCGACTACGGACATGACTCACTTCAATGTTGGGCGGGCTGAGGCGGCGCTGTCGGCTTGTTGTTTAGAGAAGCTGCATATCCCGAGACCACCGGTAGAAGTCCAGAAGTTGCGCCGTGCCGCATTCTTGGGCAGGCAGAGCGCCGTGCTGAGCAGCATTTCCAGAAGATGCCTGATTGATTGATACCGGATGAGGGATCGATGTCGACTGCGAAGTCTACCCTGAAAGTTAGTCATCGGCAGCTTCTGATGAGCGTTCAGCCTTTGAGGGTGTGGCTGTAACAGTCAGGATGATTGTCCTTGTGGCGGACACCGTGTTGAGTGCCTTGGATGGAGATAGCGACTGCAAAGCCAAAGCAAACCTAAACCCTCAAACCCCAAACCCAATGCCCCTTATGGTGTGTGGTTTAGGGTAGGGCACCTTGTAGCGCGGCACCTTTCTCAGTGCCCCGACCCAAGTTTTCCGCAAAGTCAGCAAGCCGGAGTTCACGCCAGATTTAACGTATGGTTTGTTTGGGGTTCTTGGGGCCTGCAGGAGGTCGGCACACCTGGGCTTTGAGCAGCTTTGATTTTGGCAGTTGCGGGTTGTGATTATTTGGGGTTGGTAGGGTATCGGTTTCGGGGTTGTTCGTGGCAGGTGCCAAAGTCCTCGTCTCCAGCAATACGACCACAGACGATGTGTGCATTCGCTTCGAGGGCACCAGGCAGCATCTGGAGGAGATGATACACGCGAGGTTGAGCCACCCGGCTTCCATGAGCCCGACGCCCACGCTCGTACCTGAGCCCTACCTACAGGTAGGCCGTAAACTGAAATTAGTAGCAAAAGCTAGTGAATCACTCAAACGTTTGTGTATATACATGGTATATGCATATATATCTATATATACACACACAAGATGAAAAAGAATCTCTAAAATGTTTGCATGTATGCATCTACCCACAAACATATATACGTACATGCACGTGTACACACACACACATGGTATGATATATGATATATGATATATGATATATGATATATGATATATGATATATGATATATGATATATGATATATGATATATGATATATGATATATGATATATGATATATGATATATGATATATGATATATGATAGATGATATATGATATATGAGAAATGATATATGATATAGAATGTATTGTATATATGATATACGATATTTGACATATGACATATGTTATGTGATATATAATATATGATATATGATATATGATATATGATATATGATATAGGATATAGGATATAGGATATATGCTGTATGAGATATGTTATATGATATATGATTTCATGATTATATGATTATATGATGATATGATTATATGATTATGTGACTATGTGATTAAATGATTATAATATGATTATATGATGACATGATGATATGATGATATGATTATACGATTATATGATTATATGATATATGTACATGATATATGATTTATGATATTTGATATTTGGTATTTGGCATTTGGTATTTGATATTTGATATTTGATATTTGACCTATATATATATAGATATATAGTAAATGATATATGATGTATGATATATGATATATGATGTATGATGCATGATGTCTGGTATATGATATCTGATATCTGACAAATGATACATGATATACGACATCTGAGATATGATATATGATATGATGCATGATGCGATATGAAATGACGTGATATGATACGATATGAAATGAAGTGAATGACATGATATGATATGATATGATACTGTATGCGGGGTAAAACTGGCCAATTCCGTGTTGCGCTGGTCAACGCCGGACGAAGTGTGGAGTGGACGGATGGAATGCTCGCGTGTGAGGCTGCGAAACTTAGACTCTTGGCCTGTGCCCACCTCACCAAGCACCACGAGAAGTTCAGCACTGTCGTGGCACCGTGGGGAGAGTGGGCAAGGTCAAGCTGCTAGAAAGGCAGTAAAGGGCATTGCTCTGATCTTGAGAGACCAACACTACCGCGCCCGCGGCCCCCAAAGGATAATGGCATCCGTTGCTGAGTCGCGAGTCCCCTGCCGAAGTTCCGGCCCCCAAAGCCTCAAGTGAAGCAGGCCCTCTACGTACTCTTAGGTCCAATGATGCCCTTTCCCTCCGAGGCCAAGAAAGCCAAAAGGGACCTGCAGTCATATGGAACCACCGAGGAGAATGGCAGCTCGACAATGGCATGCAAGTCCGCTCAAGAAAACATCGCGGTCTTCGTGGCAGAACGCGCAGCATCAACGTACCAAGTGGTGGAGACGAAGATTCTTTGCTTTACGAGCTGCGTGACCTCATGAAGAAGATTGACAATGACCCCAAACATAAAAGAACACTGCAGGAAGAACTTCGCGGCATTCTCGACAAATTTGATAAGGATGTCAGCGCAGAAAGACCCGCTGGCCGGTTTACACAGGGCAGTGCAAAGCAGAGCGTGTACAATGTCAACCTGTGGAAAAAGGATCGAGACTATGACAAGGAGCAGGAAACTCCTTTTAAAGACTCCACGTATCCTTTGGCAACGAGGCGAAGTGGTTGGGTGGGGCAACTTCCTGCGATTGCTTGAGGAGGGCGTCGAAGTGGAGGGAAAAGCGACTGTCTGCTATCGAAAGCAGGCCAGAGACCTGTGGGCCCTGGCGACCTTGCACTCGCTACAGAAACAGGCCACCCTTCTGATAGTGGACGATGGCGAAGGTCCAATGGCGGCTTGCCCCGGACGTTCTGGGTCTGTGGCCTGCAAAATGGCGATGTCAACCTCGGCATGAAAGTTGCTCAACGACAGACCTGCAAAATGTCTTCTTCACTTGGGCTCACTGTTCAGCAGTTTGGGGAACTCAAGACTTATGGTTGGAAGATCTTTGGCGACTGCGACTCCAAGCTTCTGATCGGCTACGTCAAGGTCAAGGAAGACGAGCAAGAACTTCTTCGGGGGAACTGGGGCATCTTCGTGCAGGCCCTGAAGTTTGACTCAAGCGCCGCAGTGCGGTGGGTCCCTGGCGTGATGCGAGATCTTAATCGTGGCTTGTGGCTTGAACATGCTTTCGGGACAGCCGTTGTCCGGTGGTGCTGGGGATGTGTTTTGGGGAGACTTGGGATTGCCTGGGGGTGGTCTGGCTTGGGGGTACTTTGACGGAGTGGGTGGTTGGCGGTGCTTGAGAGGTGCTTGGGGGGTGCTGTCGGGGGTGACCTTGTTGATCTCGAATCCAGCTCGACTGTGTGCCATGATATTCACGAGGGTAGCACAAGTGGGAGTTCCGGTGGTTTTGACATTGCGCTACTTTTGTTGTCATTTTTCTGATTTGCAATACTGGAGCTTGCATCATGTGAGATTTTGATTTATAACGCTGCTTCTTTTGGCAGCTGATCCGTGCGGAAGACATAGTTATGTTGGGAGTTTGACTGGGGTGGAACAGCTGTTGTTAAATCATAACGCGGGTGTCAGAATAATCCCCACAGGGACAACTGGCTGGCGGCAGCAGCGCTGCTTTTTTTGGCAGCTGATCTGCGCGGAAGACATGGTCATGTGGGGAGTTTGGCTGGGGCAGAACAGATGTTGTCAAATCATAATGCGGGGATGTCCTAAGGTAAGCTCAATGAGAACAGAGATCTCACGTGGATCAAAAGGGGAACCTTGCTCGATTTTGATTTTCAGTAGGAATATAAACTGTGAAAACATGGCCTATCGATCCTTTAGGACTTTAGGTCTGAGAAATGTTGAGTTAGAGGTGTCAGAAAAATTACCACAGACGTAACTGGCTTGTGGCAGCCAAGCGTTCACAGCGACATTGCCTTCTGATCCTTCGATGTCGGCTTGAGGTGCAGTGAACGTAAGCATTATAGACCCTGAAACTGTAGACTCCGGAGACTCTCAACCCTAACCCTTAAAACATAAACGCTAAACCCCAAACCCTTAAACCTTAGTGAAACCGTACACTCCAAAATTCTACACACTAAAGCCTGAAAGCGTACACTGCTGAGACTCAAAACTCAAAACCTTAAAACGTAAGGCCTAAATCCTAAACCCGAAACCTTACTGAAATCTTCCACTTCAAACTCTAAACACTAAAGCCCGACAGCGCAAAGTCTTGAGACAAAACCTCAAACCCTCAACCCTTAACCCTTAATCAAATTTTACGGCTGTTTTCGCTGCTGAATCTGACTGAGACGTGCGCCTTTGTAGCCTCATTCTTGCTGTAGTGTGTGGGTCACGGCCTGAGAAGGTGTTGGCGCTGCTTTTGCCCAGTGCTTTGAATGTCACAGTGACAAGCGTGGGTGAGCAACTATGCCTCTCCTAAGGTCTGGGGTCAGGTCGACTTGCGACGGCCTCAGCGAAGGCATTTGCCAAGGATGTTTTCATTGATCAAGAATCAAGAGCGAAAGTTAGGGGGCTAGAAGATAATCAGATGCCGTCCTAGTCTTGACCATAAACTATGCTGACGAGAGAGTGGAGGTCGTTACCTATAGGATTGCTTACGCAGCACATTGTGAGAAATCAAGGTGGTCGTTGATCTTGGGGCCTGCGGCTTAATTTGACCGAACACGGGGACCTAGGCAGGTCCAGACATAGTAAGGATTCAGAGCAGATTGATACGCTGTTCATCAGGAATCGTCTACGCGTTTCATCGTCTCAGCAAGGACCTACTCGTGATTGGCGCTGCTGCATGAGTTTGAGTTGCAGTCATAGTAGTGGCATTCTGATATGCTGGTGCCCCTGCTCCGTCCTTTTCTTTCGGCACCTCTTCTCCAGATCTGTGACACACTAAAGCCCGACAGTGCAAAGTCTATGCGCAGACTCGTTAAGCTGCGCAACATCTCTGGTGCAAAGGTTGCTTTGCTTGTACCGCGCCCAAGGACAGCAAACCTGAGGGCGACCAACCGGAAGGCTCTAAGGCTATGCTCCTGCCCACCTGGGAGGGAGGTAAGCCATGCCTCCGTAGGTTCTGGGTTTTGCCTCTTTGCGAAACGCTGCCGGACTTGCCGGAACAGGCCCCAGCTAAAACCACAGTTTCGGTTGATGAAACACCGTTGGTTGTGTTCAGAGCCACACTTGTCCAGACCTTGTGCACTAAGGATAAGTGGGAAGCATTCCGCAGAAATGCAGCAGCGCAGGTTCACGCAGCCTTCGGTGACAAAGTTGTGAATTTCCACATATGCCTGGAAGGAAGTCAAGGTCACATCTCGTGACAGCCTTCCTGAGGTCATTTTGCAAGGGTTTGTCAGAGTCAAACAAACAAATCAAGGAAAAATCCTCCAGCGCATTGCTGAAGACGGTTTATTTGTTGAGTACCTTGCCTCCGACAATAAACCCAAGCCAGCTGTTTACTGGATCCCGCCTTTTGAGGGTGAGGCCCCGCGTGATTACCTGGCCAGGGTTGTTGCTGATGCAAAAAGGAGCGCTACGATTGCTCACAGATGCGGAGGAGGCACGTACCTGGGTCTCAGAATGCTCAAAGGCGTGGTGAGGCCCCAAGTACATGCCTGGTCTCTGCAGGGGGCCCCGCAAAACTGGGATGCACAGGACGTCCTGCGCTGCTTGCAGGACTCTGGAGTGCAACAGGTTGAAATCCTTAAGCCCCCCCACAAAAAGAAAGGATGGCTGATCAAAGGCCTGGTAGAGGACAGCAGTGACATTGGTGTCGTTGGCATTGATGCTGGCAACCGTAACCTCATGTTGTTACGTTTGCGGCGCACGATTCGTGGAAACGCGGATACGATTGAAGTCCTCAAAAAGCCTGC